GCACAGTCTGCCTTGCCCTCAGCCTCTGTGGGGATCTGGTAGGGCCCCTCTGAGATGGTGATCCAGAGGAACGCTAACCGTTATGATACTTTAGACTGTGGCTGTACTCAGTATTAAGGATCTTTTCCAACCTAAATGATTCTGTGCTGTCCTAATTCTTATCTTAGTGCCTCCTGGATTGCCTTCTGGATCCTCCTTGCAGAGACCCACTGATGCTTTTGAGATTTAGATTTCCTTTATTTATACAAATATACTCCTGTACTAGATGACAGCTTAGCAAAATGGCCATTGCCTTCTGCCTGTGGATTCCCCTGTGCCTTTTCTCAGTTTTCCCCACTTTGATAATTCCTAGTAGTTTAATTAAACTTCAGATTCCATCCTTACTCATTCTCATCTCTGAATCACTGGTGCAGTTGCTCACACAGAGCGTGGTGGTGTTGCATGTTAAGCACGTCTCTTCTGCGAGGCTGCAGATGTGTATCCTTATCTTCACCCCACGAGCACCGCTACCCTCTCCGTGCTCGCAGACGCAAACACAAAGTGCTCTTCTCTCTGGTGAATGCTGGGTTTGGCTGCCAGTGGTGAATTGTCAGGCATGAGCCTTCCTGCACGCAGCTGCTGAGCATTAGTGCTGTTGATTGCTGGAGTTTACACATAGACACTCCTGGAAAAGGTCACACCAGTGCAATATTGGCTTAAATGAAAACTGGTTTATTATGCATGTGCCTCTTCCCTCGAGCAGCTGATTAGGCAGCCAGCTGTGGCCAGATGTCTGCTGGAGATCCTCTGGGATGCATGCAGCTTTAAAAGATGGTTTGGATGACTTGTAGTTGAGCCTGTCTTGGCTCAGTTGGGCTGGTGGCACTTTTCATGGCAGTTGGGCACGGCGCATCTCACCAGCACGCGCAGGGCTGCTTGTCATTCGCACCACTGGTACGTGGAGCATCAGAAGGGGAAGAGCCACCTCTGGTTCACTTGGAGTGCGCAGGCTGTGCTGGGCACTGACAAGGATTCATTTCAAACACTCTACTCTATTGGGATGTATCAGAAGCAAAACATATGAGAAGTAAATTGCTTTGGTTTACTTAGGCTGTACTTTTCTAACCTGAGTCAGCTGTAATCTATAAAACAGCTTTCAGCTCATGTTTTCTGCACATAAACTCTTATCACATATTTGTGGTAAGTAACAATAGATGCTATTTTAAAGACACTGATCAGATCAGAAAGATGTAGGCAGTGTGATTCATTTGAGAAGGGAAAGGAGTGCAAGTGGGGGGTGCTGGGGCTGTGCAGGTCAGGGAAGAAGAGGACTGAAGAGCAGGCAGCCATGGATGGGCCCAAGAGCCAATCTGGGGCAGGAGTGGAGCTGGTAAGGCAGAGAGAGCAGGAGCTGCTGTGGGAGCCAGGGCAGTTTGAACATCACTGTTCAAGCACCATGGACTTGTTAGATGAATGCTTTGCTTGTGTGTAAGGCATTGTTTGACCCCTGTTCAGTAGGACCTGTTACGGATTCATAGCATGACATGGGAGGTTGGGTGGTTTCTGTTTAAATTGAGCCCCCTAGTGATAGAGCTGAAAGATGAGGTAATACTGATGGTCCCTCTGATACTGCTCCTGTGTTATTGGGCATAATTATCCCTTCCTTGAGACCACCTGTGGTTCAATTAGGTAGCTTTCTGTGGAACTCCTAAGTAGATAAAAGGAAGAGAAAGGAGGAAAAACTCCACAGCATGTGCTCTTTTTCTTCATTTTCTTCATATGGAAGTAAATCAGGGAAAGGCATCTCTGCTAAAGGCTTTTTTAAGCAATGTTTGCTAAATGCACTATTTGGTTTGGCTGCATTGCTGTGTGATTTGACTGTCATGTGGTCCCAAGTACCCGAATACCTGAGATGTGTGCTAGTAGGAGGCTCTGATCAATTTCCTCATGAACACAACATCTCAGACGTAAACTCTTATTTTACCTCTTTTATCCCAGAAACACAGCAGTGCTGAAGGTCTGTACCTGCAGAACAGAAACCTGAGAGAGCTCAGTCCAGCAGAATCAGTTCCATTGACAAAGATGACTGTGAGAAATGACTAGTAAGGTACTGCTGGAAACCAGTGCCTGTCACTCACTTTACAGCGATATTTAATTCACAAGGTTGAATGTCTCTAACTGTTGTTGGAAGGCCTGGCTGTCCTGAGGCTGGGCTGAAAAATCCATTGTAGAATGCAGCAGGCTAAAGTCTTAGCTCATGTAAATTCTGTACCTGTTTTCTAACCCCTTTTCTAGGTGGGCAGCATGGCTGGTGGAGGCAGCATGTGCTTGCCCTCACTTTTACAATGAAGGCAGTGACTTAGGGGCATGGCATGTGGGGCTCCTCTGCTGTGCTTTGGGCAATTCCAGCAGCTGAGATGACTTTTTCTTTGCTGGTCAGGGTGAGTGGCTGATGGAGAGCTGTCTACATGATGGGCATCTCCATTGTGTGAAGGGAATCCCACCTGCAAGACGAATCTGCAGGGATGGCAAAAGGACACAGGGCACTTCTCCCACAGCTGGGATGCTTTGCTGTGCTGTGACACTTGCAAGGGCAGGAGTCACAGACCTCTTAAAGCACCACAAGCTGATCCATTCTGTGACAGTAACCCTTTGCTGCTTTTTGTTTGGGGATATGAGGGCCATTGTTCACCTGCAATGCTGTGTCTGTACCCTGGGGTCACTGCCCCACTAGGAGCTGTGCTCTGGCAGCAGGATGTTTCCTGAGACCTCTCTCCTTGCCATGGTGAGGACAGCATCATAGGGTGCCTATCTGTTCCATGTTATTTTATTGCCTTTCTCATGACCTGTTTCCAAGCCTAACCTGCACCTGATGGACCTCCTGGAGCACTAGGCTGTCTGCCTGGATACCAAATGTCCCTGCAGAGTCATCAGGCCAGGAGCTTTCATTGTGCTGCTGTACACCACCAGCCAATGCAAGGTGCAGCTGAAGATCTTTGGTACACTCTGTTACACCAAATTAATCTTCTGACTGTAATATTCAATACCATACTTTTGCCTGCAGTTCATCTTGTCCATTTAGTCTGCTAAAAGAAGGTGCTGAGGGAGAGAAATGGATGGAGCAAGGTTTCTAGCCTGTTGGTAAGGCAGGAACACATGAGCTTTTAATACTTCTATTTACATGATTTTGTAATTGTAATAAATATTTGTCTTTGGTCCCTTGTAACAAGGTAATAGTAAATTCAGTTGTGAAGCCTATTTATTACAAAAGGCTGGAGCCTTTCAACCCCCTTGTTGTGTCTGGCAGCTCCTGGGAATTAATTGCATGCTGTCAGAAAGGCAGGTCTCCTGAATCCAGCCCCAGCCTGCTAATAGCAGAGTTATTATTTAACAGTTCAAGACTCTGTGAGGCTGCTTTTTATTCTGCTTTGCTTGGTGGCTATAAAGAGGTTTTTAGAGAACTGAACAGCTGAGGCAGAAGTCAGTTGCAATTTGTCCCACCTGTAGCATCCTCCGTGACTGCTGCTGAGCTAATTGTGCCTGCACACAGGAATCACTCTGAATAGCTGATGCCTCTCATGCTGGCCATCTCCCTTGAAGCAGCCCCAGTGGGGCTTGGGGGACACCTCTGATGTCCTTCAAGCTGAGCTGCCTGGCTGGTGCAGGTTAGGGGGGTATGGGACTACCAGCTCTGAGAATGCACAGTCCAGGTCCATCCTGCTGCCTGCCTTGTCTCAATCCTATCTATGAACCCCATAAACTCCATTTAAAACTGGTGGGGAGATAACTGGCTGCTGAAAAGGCTTTTGCTGAGACTCCCTGCTTTGGTAGTTAGAGACTGTCTTCTAACTTCCAGAGCAGATTTACCTCAGGAAAGTTCACAACCATTTATTCTTGTTCTAGCTCTGTGTATTAAGCTCTTCTCTATTGCTGTTTATCCCTTTATACATATGAATGCATATGGCCTGTGAAGTCTTGTAAAATGTAATTAATTCTATGCTGTAGCTTTAGAAATGACTGTGATTAAACTCTAGGATTTTTCTCAGCTGCTTTCTCTTGGTGACTCATGGCCATTCAAGCCCAGCTGGCACAACTGGGTTCCTGGTTGTTTCTGACTACTGAGGGTTTATAGCAAATGTATTGTTACAGGCAGACAAGTGGAGAGCCTTGTTTATTAGTATTGAATTCATCCCATTTTATCACTCGAATCTTCAAGGTCATCCAGCTCCTACATGAAATACCTTGCCAGCGGGGGACTGAAGGAAATACAATGCCCTTTTTAATAATCTGGGAGCTTCATCAGTACTCTGAATGCCACGGCTGTTAATGAAAGTATGGAGATGGGCAGATCTCAGGCTCCCTCCATAAGGAACAGCTCTGATAAGCTCCATCAAATCTGACGCTTTGAGCCCTTTCAGCAGTGTGCCTTCCCCACTTACCTCTCTTTGATGCTGTCCTTTAAAACCTGTTTCCAAGCCTTTTACAGCAGGGAGACTTGACAAGTGGGTTGGGCATTACCTGGATCACCCTCTCCTCTCATATGTTTACCCTTACATTTCTTGAACTCTAAGACACTGGACTTTTCTAATCAGTTCCTTCTCTATTCCACTTTCTGCTTAGTTTTAATAATTAAAATATTCTCCTAATGCCCTGTCACGTCTCCAGAGAAGCCAGGAGCTTGAGCACACAGAGTTTTACATTTGATGGAGATACGAATTCTGCAGAGTGTTGGTATTTCTCATCTGAAGAAATACTGAGCTTCCTCCACAGGCAGTCCCATGAGGTCCTGAATCCACTCTCGGATTTTGTATTTTCTGATCATAGTTCCCTTCTTGCACTTTCAGTTTCTGGCAACAGGTATAATACGTTTATCATGTTCACATATGTAACAATATGCAAATCTTTAATGTTTTACTGAGTAATGGTTGCCAAGGACTGGTCTTACTTATAGTGTAGGTACCTATAAATCAAAAGTATGTCATAAGAATCTATAAATCAAACAATAGCTCCAAATACAGTGGTAAGTTATGCACCATCTCATAATTTATTATAATACAAACAAGTTTGTCAAACACAATATATTGTCTACTTATGAAAATATCAATATTCACAATTTGAGTAGGTGGTAGGTCCCATAATTTTATATACCAGCAACTTGTCTAAAAAGTATTTTGTTCCTATCTGTGGTCTTCAAGGACATATACCTGTAAGTAATTGTAAAACTGTCCATTCACAGCTTATTTTTTCTAATTGTAGATATTTGAAATATAAATTAAACAGAGTACAAAAGACCATCTCCACAACAGGGATGGTTTTGTCTCCAGGATACTTTTCCCATAAATAATGGCACTATATGTGCTTGGTTAAGTTTTTACTATTGGAAAATCAGGAGGTACGAATAATACAGCAAGACATTGGCTAGTTAGCAACAGTCATTGCAAGACGCTTCACACAACCAAAAATAAGGCAAGTATTATCAACAGCAGCTTCCATATGGCAGACTAAAAAGTCAAGGCTTTATTATCCAAACTGGACTCTAAGAAGGCTTCAAATGTCCATTAGCAAGCTACAGCTTGATCCAAAGCCCTCATAAATTGATGGGGATTGGAAAAAACAACCACAAAACCCACAAGCAACCTTCCCTTTGACTTCAAGGGGCTTTGGAAGTAAGCTCTTAAAACCCTAAATTATCAGAAATGAAATGACCAATCCACCACACATGAAAATTGCACCTTGTAATTTCTAAAGTGATATGGGCAAGGATGGCGAGGTTTTTCAAATGAAGTTACAATTTAATGGGTTATTTTTAGTGGGAAATAAAATATTCACACAAAAGTTTTGTTTTCAGATCTGGTAATTTACAAAAATGCATAATCAGAACAGGAAAAATCAGATGACATTGCTTGTTTGCAGGATAAACATTATGTTACAGAAACTAACGGATCACACCACGTGAATGGCAGCATATGCCATGCACCTAATTGAATCTTTTCAATAAATAAAAGCCCTAAACATTCACTATTTTCTGTAAGGTTAGCATTATATTAAGTAAATAGTGAATTTCTTGTATAAATAGTTTTTTTCAATAGATACATTCTCCAAAAAGAACCACTTATCTATACAGATATTGCACTTCAGACTCATTCACATGTAACTCAGACAAGCATTCCTCATAACAGAATAAAAATAAGTTATAAATACAGTGTTTTCCCGAAATGAAACATACAGTACCTTTTTCATAAGGTAACTTTGGTTACTATTGAATGACAGAGACCAGAGAGAGGTTTCTGAGAGGAGGGTAAAAGGCATGGCCCCAGAACTGAATTTCCGTAAAACTCTGGTAAAGGGAGCAATCATTTTAACCTTGCCATGGCAAACACAGCAAGGCTGAGCATCCCTCTTACGCTTTATTATTGCAAGTAAGTGTGAAGCTTTGCTGAGAACACAGGGACAAGCAGCACACACAGGATGAGGAAGCTCCCCATTTTCCTTTCAATCTGGGGAGATTTAGGTGGGTAGCATCCCTTTGGTGGGTGAGGGTGCAAAGGGTCACCTCTTGCTCTCAGCTCCCCTTCTCCTTGCTCTAACCAGAGTGGTCCCTGTGGTGCTCCAGCACCTCGCAGAGGAGTGCTGAGCAACTCTCCTGACTGCTCTGCTGGTAGGAGAGGGTTGGGTAGTGCCCCCCGAGGCACTGGGCATTCTGTCTCTGTGCTCCTGCCTGACCTGAGTAGCCTCGATCTGTCCTGAGAAAGCCCCTCCACTCACAAGCCAGCCTTTGCCTGGGGTCCTGCTCTACATGGCTTGTGCTGCCGTTCCCTCCTGGGGAAGGCATGCTCAGGTCTGGTGTCGGTTTTGCTCTTGCAGGATGCTAGTATAAGTAGGTGTGCAAATGCAGCCTCTGTGGCAGAAGGGAACCAAGCTGCTGTCCTCAGTAGGACTCTTGCAACTTGGTGTTTCTTAGGGGAAATGCACCAAAACTGAGCCATCCATGGGGTTTAGAGAGACACTTTCAGCCCTCGTATCCCACCAAAGTGGGATTGACTTGATCCCTTTGCAGAGGACCTTGATGTTAGTCCCTGATGCCCCACTGGAAATGGATATGGGCACAGGCAGAGCTAGCACTAGACTACTTCTCATTTGCTGGGAAGCTGCTGTGTCCACTGACCACATTGTGCTTGTGTTCACCACGCAAGGAAGTCTGCTCTCACATTCAGTAAGGCTGCATTAAGCATCTAATATAGAAGTAAGAAGGTATGTGGTCTGAGAAGGAGAGAAATTACAAGAAATGCATTTTCCACCTTCCTGTAAATCTCAATTTCTACACTCAGCATTACTGGGATTGAGTGTAAGGGAGGAGAATTTAAGCTAATTTAAATAAGGTAAATACTCAAAAGCCTCAGTCCAAGCTGATCTATGTTTTTACTGCTGGTGGGTATTTAATAGCCTTATTTCACAAATTGTTTTTTTTAACAATTAAATGGCAAATCTGCAATAGGAGGGCATAAACTGTCAGTAGAAAAATCTTAGACTGAGTTTTTTGTATGTTAATGCTAAAGGCCTGAACATGGGGATAATGGAGAGTCTTTATTGGTTAAGAGGGAACCTGAAGGCTGTGATTACTCCAAACCTCGCAGGAGCAGCTTCAGTGGGATCTCTGCATTAGGCAGGACTTGGCCTCACACTTCGAAGTCTGTACACACCATAACTGAAATAGCTGGGGAAAGATGCTGCTTTTGTTCTTGGCTCTAGAAACCTCCCTCCCTCCCTTGAGCTCTCCTGTCTTGGTCTCATTCTTAAATAACAAATTAAAACATATGAATATTGGCAGCTTGCAGGATTGCTTTCCGTGCCAAGGCTGTGACATGTACTATAACGGTCCTCGAGCCTTGTTCAGGTGAGCCAGAAAGGGCACGTCCCAGTTTGTGTCTTGCAGGCTGCCTCCTGCAGCAAGGTCTTGATAGCAAGACTGTGGTAGTATTTTGTGTCAGCAACAACATACCATATTTTGGCAAGTGCACACACCAGAAATGGCACCTTCCACAGTACATAAAAGCATCCATTTGCTCTGTCGATAGTGAACTGCAAGGTCAAGTAAGGTTTTGTTGTTGTGTTTTAAAAGTTGTAATTAAACACTGTTGTGGCTTCCCCCCTCCAATGACTTCAGACTGCACTGGTGCTGGGATGCAAAGCATTTGAGTGCAACTGAACACTAAGACTTGAACTCTGAAGCATATTCAAAATGCTGTGTAAGAGATGGAGGCATTTGCCTTCTCACTTTTGCTCCTAAAATCAAGTGCTCCCGATCCCTCCTTAACAGTCTGATCTGCCCTCGGTCTCCCAGGGAAATGAAATCAAATGACCACTTGTCAAAACAGCCATTTCAGCAATTTACATCCTGAAGATGTAACCACTTGAAAACTTGCATCCAGAAACTCAAACTATTGCCCTTTTCATGGTGATATTTTTATAGGCTTTCCATTCTTATCATACTGGTAAACAAGCATTTTGATGCAGTGCGAGTTGGCTGGGGAAATCCAGGGGCTGCTTGTTATGGAAAAGTTATGGTTTGTATAGAATTGCACAGGCTGCTTCTGACACTTAAAGAAGGCTTTCAGCGTGGCAGCTGCCATTGTGCGAAATCTTTTGCTAATAAAACAGTAGAGGAAGAAATTAATTGCAGTGTTCAGCAGCGCGAGCATATTGGCGATGTCCGACACAATATGTACCACCCAGCTGTTGTTTATAGGTGATACGTAGAGGTGATACAGTATCATGATTACTCTTGGTGCCCAAAGTATGGCAAAAATAGAAGTTATAGTAAACAAAATGGCTGTTGTTTTCCCTGTGGAGTACCCTCGCAGTCGGAAATGGCTCTTTCGACGCAGCTTGTACACGATGATGGAATTCAGGATGAAGAAGATGGAGCAGGGCACCAAGTAAACGGTAAAGCAGTGGATCCAGATGAGGACGTGATGCATTGATGTGCTTATGTAGTCTTCAATCCAAATGTTAGGCCACCAGTAGTAGGGGATGCTGGTCAAAAAGCAGGTGATGTAGACACTTACAATGACTTTTCGAGTACGAGCAGGGTAGGAGACTGTGTGATACTTCAGCGGATGGCACACAGCTATATACCTGTCGATTGTTAGTGGAACTGTAATCCAAATGGAGGTGTGGATAGAAGAGAACTCCAAGACCTCAATTATTTTGTCCAGTACCTGAGGCATCTGTTTGTTTAAGATGAAGTCTTCCATGAGGAAGTCGACAAAGACAATGAAGAACAGAACCAGGATGTCAGCAGCAGCTAGAGCTAGAAGGTAGTTATAGGAGGACTTCTGCCTGCGAGCCACGAGCTGGGAAAGGATGATAACCGTCAAGATGTTTGCTGTGGAAACAGAAACACAGAGTTAGGCAGTTAAGACATAACACCACCTTTCCTGAGCCCTTGCTTGGAGCAGTAGCTCTGTTCAATCACCAATCAACATGGCCACCTTTACTGAAATTCAAGAAACCAAAAGGAAAGCACTACAGTTGGGTCCCTCAGAGAAGCTGTTGCAATGAGGAGCATGTGGCCCTGCTCCCAGCTGTGGGACACATTGACACTCAGTGTTCTGGCAGACTGGGATGAGAGACACAGGAATGTGGGACTCCAGGCATGGGGTTAGATGGTATCCAACATCCCTTGGCTATCTCCTTGGAACAGATGTAGAGTCATAGCCCTAGGTCTGTTGCTGCTCTATGGTGAGCCCTGCTGCTGCTGTGGGCATGGCAGCAGCATTGTGAGCAGGGGGTGCTGAGGCCCCTGCCTTTGCACTGCGAGGAAGGGCAGCAGGAGAAAGAAACCGGTATCTCTCACACACACTCTTATTTTCTCACTTGTTTTTTTCACTTTTTTACTGTTTAAACAACTGACAGACCTGCAGGGTGGGGGGGCTGTGGAGAGAGACATTTTGTTGCTCATCCTAGCTCATGGTGCTTCCCTGTTCTAGTTTAGAACTCTGTCTAGAAAGAGCTGAAAAGCCACCTGGATTAGGTGATTCTCCCTTGACTGAGTGGGAACCTAATCTAGAGAGGGGCTATCTGGGAAACACATCCTTGGGTCTCCTGAGAGCTGGAGGTGTGTTACAGCACACAAAGTTTCCAGCTCTGCCCAGGATGAGTCTCCTGTAATTTTCATCTCTTACAGACAGGCTCTGAAGAAGCATCTCCCTTCCCACCACTGAAGCAGTCTGTTCCACAGACCCACTTGCTTATCTCGAGCTCTTCTTTAGAAGTCCTTCAACTGGAAGGCATTCCTCTGGCGTGATACAGCTGAGTCTGAGGAGACGCTGCTGGTCACTTCAGACATGATGGATGTTCTGATTCAGGCTAAGTATAAACATCCTTGAGTTTCCTGAAAAGGCATCTGCTTGCAACTTTCTGGCCACAGTACAGACCCATCACCTAAACCATGCCTAGATGTATTGCATGACACTAAATACTGCAGTGAAGCGAGTGTCCCATCTCTGCTGTTTCACTGTCTGGTTTGCTTCAGTCTCCTAAAGCTGTGATATGTTTTGGTGTCTGCTTGAACCAGTGCTATAAGGGATGTTCTAGGAAGCACTCAGTCCTACAGCCCCTGGCCAGGCAGAGCTGCTCACCATGACTGCAAACAGCCCTTGCAATCCTTGAGAGCTTTCCTGGTGAACTAAGGTGTAGCTGAACTTTAACCACTTGCTCACTTTTAATAGAACTTACTGTGTGGTCTTGAATAGGGGAAAAAAAAGTCCTATTATTACCAGCAGTATGGCTGGAGTGAGACACGTGAAATTGTTCCCACCAGAAGTTTGTATCATTTGCCTACAATACCTGAAGTAGTGCTTAAAAATCAGGGATCTGGTTTACTGTACTAGAGACTGCCAAATGTTTGTATTTGACATTTTCATAACTGTTCTGTAAATCACCCCTTCTGTGAATTCAGTGCTTCAAACGTTTCTGTCAGCTTTGATGGATTTCCCAAAACAAGTCAACAATAACTGTAAGGATTCTTTTAAATCAGAGAGAAAGGAAGTTGCTGACATTAAGGTAATGATGACCTAGAACATATGTGCCACAACCGAAAATGCTCATTCTTTTTGAAGTGTTGGCATGGGAGAAAACTTGTGCCTTCATAAATGCCTTCAAAGCCTGTTGTCTGGGTGCAGATTTCTGCCACCAGGGAAATGAACTGCAGCAGAGTGAATGATACTGAGTAACAGCCCTCTTGTCACCTGCTTTTGTATTAACTTCATATGTTCATTTTGTAACTTGGAACAAAACTAAATGAAACATGACAATCAACTGATTCCTTCCCTAAACAAATAAATAAGCGTGAACTTTCCAACAACATTGTCTCAAATCGCCTTCAGCCAGGTAATTTTCCCAGTTCTGGCCTCTATTAACATGAACGCAACTGCACTGATTGCCACTCAGAGCAGGCGTAGGAGATGGGGGCAATACAGCTAGAACTGCTGTGTCATTTTTCACTTACTTGCTTATGAAATGCCTCTGTTATGCCTGCTGCTGTGCTGTAGAGGTACGGTGAGTGATGTACTGTCAAGGAAATCCTCAAGCTGGAATGTTTATCTTGACTCTGCAGCAAATGTTGGTTTTGGCCAGCCAGGCTGAGTGGCTTGGCTTCACAATTACTGGATGTGACCCACAGGGTTCATCTTCTCTTTAAATCCTTGGATTTGACTCACTTCAGTGGCAGCAGCTGAAGCCAGTGTGCAGCAAGGGGAATGCCTGAGGACACTGGTCACTGCTGGCAACACTGGCCTGCCTGTCAGAGGGTATCCTGCAGGGGTGCTGAAGTCATACCACGTCCAGGCACAGCAGCCTTGCTCCCCACCCCTTCTGCCCGTTGTGGGGATCCGGCTGTTTGGTTCTAACCCCACTCTCCTACAGGAGTAGATTTATGAGCAGTCCTTTCCTGTGTACCCCCTCTCCCTGTCTTTCTCAGGGTTCCCAGCAATAGCAGTAATATCATGTAGTGAAATGCAAGTTATTCACTTACTGTCAGTGAGCTTTGCTTGGTGAGCCGGATTAGAAAATTGATCTGACAAAGTACATGCCATTTTTCTGCAAGGGTTACAGTATCTTGTATTGGAAATGCTTTCTCTGGGATCACATTAGGGCTTTTTCTGGCTGGATGATATGAAATATTGTAATATCATTTACTTTATGAAAGCAGACATACACTGGGGTGCAGCAGAAAGTTGCCAATATCACAGTGCCTTAGCTCAGGGCTTGGGACTGTTTTTCCTGCTGCATGATGTATAGGGAAAGGGAAGCTGAGCTATGGACAAGTCTCAGTCCTTCACTCATTTCCTGGCCAGTGTCCTCACCAGTGTGTCCTCAAACGCTGTCTAAAGCTCAGTAAAATGGGAAATGGGTGGGAACGACACTGTATGAATAACCACGTCCTTGTGCCAGCACCTTGCTGACTCCTGGGTGCATACTCAGTGCCCCACAAGCTCTCCTGTAGGCAAAAATTACTTACTCCAGGTGAAAGGTGATGAAAGAGTATTTGCAACCAGATCTTAATTTACCCTAATTCTTGCACTGATATTGTAGTCAGTGATAAAGACTATGGTAGAGATGGCGATGGCGATATAAATGTGTCTGTCCCTACTGTAACTGGGGAGCTGCAGCTACTGGATATGTCAGTGCCCCTAAATTGTCCTGCATGGTGTACTGAACATTTCTTGCAGCATTTTTTCTAGATATGAAGTAGTTAAGATTATCTGGATTTAAAAGACATTGATCACTGTGCTGGGAGTTGATTAGGGGACGATAGATGGGAATTTCTGCCACTGTCGTTTGCTGCAGTGCAGCATTCTGAATTTTTAAGTATGTGGTTGAGACCCAGGGCTTGATTAGGGACTAGACGGCTGAAGCCTTGAGATGCCACTAGCAGATGATGAGAAGTAATTGTAAGAATGCCAGTCTTAAGTCTTTCCCTTCAGACACTGAGACACAACCTCAGAGTGCCTCTTGACACACAAACACAAGTGGTCCACACTGCTCAAAATACAGCAACCTTCTAACCCAGGCAGGCTTCATCACGGGATACTTGAATCTCAGCTTTGACACCTCCTCTGACTCATCTTTTGAGTACAAACTGTAGCACTGAAATTCATGCCACTGGGGATCCTATGTATCTGAGAGGGGTCATCCTTTAGGAGGAACCCTTGTTCTCATGTGGATTTAGGACTGTTTCCCATACCAACCCCATGCTGCCTTGCCTCCAGACCCCATTCAGTCTTCTGTGTCTCTTCAAAGTGGTGCCTGTGACCTAAAGGCGCAGTTTTTTCTCCACCTTCTTGTTTTATGGATTATAGTCATAGCTCAAGTGCAGGGGATTCGCAGAGCTCCTTCCACTGACTATTATCACAGTGTGTGAGCTTAAGCAGGAGCAATTGTATTTGACTAAAGAAGAAACAGGCAGGTTTTTGGGCTTTGGTGTCGTTTTTTTTATTGAGAGCATTTTGCATGTACACAGCAGCCTGTGCAGTGAAACAGCCTTTACAACACAAGTGGTAGCACTGCTGAGTTGGGAATAAGGCCTGCTGTGTGGTTCAGTAGTTCAGCATCATAAACCACCTAAATGAAGTAGCCGTGAGTGTCGCTTACTGAGTGTGATAAACATTAGGTCACTGACTATAATGGACACCTTTTACCGAATGCGGTTGTTGCTAGGATCCCTACAAATTATTGTGCAGGGCATGAAACTACTCTGCAGGCCTTGTGTTAGTCACCTGACTGGCACGGAGAGATGGTTACAAACAGGAAAACTTGAATTGCTACAGAAAACATGTTTGTAACACCTCCTCCTTAAATTTAGAAACTCTGAGTACGATATGCTGAAAGTATATGGTGAAAAAAGGCGATGTCTTGGCTACATGGAAATAGGTTATATCCTCTAAACTAGGAAGTAATGTTATTGAGATGTAAACAGGTACAGTGTCCAGTGTCCAGGAGCCAAATCTGACCATGGTTACAAACACAGTCACTTGCCAATAGCTACCAGATTGGAGATGAGGATGATATTCAGTGCTCACTCTGTGTGTGGGCTCTCTGGAAAAGATGATGACAATGAGAGGTTTCTGATGGAAGCTACACAACAGAACTGTTAATAAAATAAAATGCTGTGGTAACAGAAACGTGTTTATTACTGATGTTGGCTATAGCTGGTTATGTGGTCTTTTAAAATGACCCCTGGATGCTGTCTGCCCCTGAAGACGATAGGGTAGTTACATATTTTCCTCTTACAACTGGTATTGGCCAAACTCTACAGCATACAGGGACAGACCCTGTGAATGGTGCCTGCTCATGGCTAATGTAATTTGTTTCTCTCTTTTACCA